GGGGGGTTGCTGTACGAAAAATATCGCAATATTTAAATTACCTCTAGGGTTGCAATTTCTCATGAAAAAAATGGTCAAATTTCGTGAGAAATATTTCATAAAATACCAGAAATTTGTGAAAGATATTGGGAAATACTTCTCGAAATTAAGTGCAAAAAAATTACGGGTTTTGCATTCTGGTGTTCTTTATTGCTTGTTGCATACCCAACCCCTGAAAATTTGGTAATATTTTTCACAGCCTTGTAAAATTTCATGGAATATGTCACACTCCTCATACAAAATTTAAAAAAAAAAAAAAAAAAAAAAAAAAAAAAAAAAAAAAAAAAAACAGACTTATAGGGGTAAATATCCTGATTTTAGGAAGGTTTTCAAAAAACCTTTCGATTCAAAATTTGAAAGACCAAAAATTTTATAGATAAAAAACAAGTTAACAAATAAGTGCTAAACCTATGTGGGCTGTGTTGTTTCCACACAGGCGTGTTGTTTGCTCCAAGAGACAACCCCAAAAATATAACCCCGATGATGAGAACACACAACAACGTGACGGAATCAAACACTTCTATGAGACCAAACTGCATAAACTTTGAGTTTACCAGAGACCAGACCCGAGATATAATTTAGTTTGATGGTTCATTACCAAAACACACACTCCAACACCTTTTTTCATGCAAAGAAAATTGTAAAAATAACTATAGAGTGCTCACCATTATCCCAAGCTGCTTCTTTGGTTTTCAGAAGAGCGGCAAGTCCGATGTTATCTTTTGGCATCACTCTATTCAACATGTCATCTGACCCTTCAGAATTTGCCATGGCTAACTGATTGAATTCTATGAGGTGCTCTTTGATTAATGAAAATCTATAATCAACAACATATACAGGAACGTTTAGGACACCAAGGATGCCTGGTGACTGGAAGAAAGTGAGGTTCAATCGAATACAACAATAAAAAGTGCTTGAAAAATTGTTTCCTATTCCTCAGTGAATTGCATTTAAGTTATTTAAAATCGTTTCAAAATTATGCGGTAAAAAGTGAACGATTCGTTTCTGAACAAAACAATGTGTAAACCGTTGGCATTGATTATAGTAAGGGATAGATCTTAGACTCACATCCTGTTAGATTGTCATTATGGAAGCGAAAGTCTGAAGATCTTTCTTGGAATTTTTTTCGGTTCCATGAATTTCCCTCACTCTGTAAATTATACTTTAGGTACAAATTGTGCATGATCAAAAATGTCCCCTAACTACCGCATGATAAGTAAATAATGAGTGTATCAGTGAAATTTGGGATTAATTTCAACACTCCAATGCTGAGTGGGTTAAAGCGAGTTTAGAGAAAGATATAGACAATCTAAATTTGTTCCTAGCTACTCTCATTCAAATTTATGAACTTGAGTAACAAATGTGAGGGTAATTATTTGAGGTACTTATGTACAATTTTATTTTACTTGACTTTCTTCTGTTTTGTGCTTTGACTTGAAAATTAATACATTATAAACACCCTTACATGTTGATAATTTTTGTGGTTGCAAAATTCATTTCTACACCCGTGCTTGTAGAATTTCTTGGTTTTTGAAGGTAACCATTGAGTCTAACTATCAGTCTAACAACCAATGCTAATTCGCTCAATTCCTGTGAGTCAATGAGACTACTTCCCATATTTTTCATGACATAGTCATGCATTGAGTGTTCTTCAAACTTAAGTACATCTACTGGTTTTTGAAAAAATAAATAAGACCTTATTCATGCGTATTGTTAGAGACTCACTTGGCAGTTCGAAAAAATATAGCACAACCATCCACAAACTTCCTATCGTTTTCAGCCATTGTTTTGGCTCTAGACTTGGGTGAAAATATTCCATCGTAACCATCACGTTTCAGTTCTGGTAGAAAAAATTTGTAAAACTGATCCGTTTCAACCTCCTGAAATGAGAAATGAACGACAAAGCTTTCTTTAATTAAACTCTGCTCAGTTTGATTTAATTATTTGTACACAGCTTCTAATAGGAAAATGCAAATTTCAGTCTTGTGTGCGAGTGTAGCCAAAAAGAAGAAGTTCCAGCTTTCACCCCTCTGATTTTAATTTTCACCGTGATAGAGGGTGTTTCTCTGGATCCTTAAGGAATTTTTAACCCCCCTTGAAAAAAACTAGCTACACCACTGGTTTCTTTGAATGGTCTCATTTATGAGTTGGGTACTGAAAGCTGAAAATGGCAAATTAAATTCGAAAAATTTGAAAAGTCTCAGCTTTGTCCTAAAAATTTCCTCAGGATCATATGAAAAATTTGAAACGAATACAATTGCTGCACCCTGTATTTGCAGACAAAAGAAATTCATCACTGTTTATAATTGATTTAAAGTTTATTACTCGCATCAGATCGAACCTATGTTACATAGCAAGGACTAAAAAAAAGTTCATTGTTAGATTGATGAAAAATCAATTTAAAGATATTTCATCACACACGCTAGTTATTTTAAAAAAATAGAAATACGCTTTTTTATGGTGGAAATATTAGGGTATTTTAATATAAAACTAATTTAAAAATCCTGTCAAGACCAGTGGCGAATCTTGAAAGTTGACATCACTGTTCCTCCCTTTAAATGCATGTAAAACAATTAATTCTTGGCTCATCTAAAATCGATATTTTCAATAGATTTAAATGGAGTAAAAACAGTGTTGCCGCCTTTCAAGCATCGCCACTGGTCGAGATTAAACATGACGATTCAACAAAAAATTTAGATGCATACTGACCTGTAAACTAATAATATCTGCTGTATAATGCTTAATCTCTGCTAAAATAGCTTTCTTACGATAGTCCCACGCTAACGCCCAGGATGGACAGTAACCATACATTTGCCTTGTAGCATATTTATCACACAAAACATTATAACACATAACAGTTATTAGACCTGAAACAAAAAATTAGTGTGTGATCCATTAGCATTTTACAATACTATCGTGCTATGGAAGAACGCCCTATGCACATTCGGAAGTTACCAAATTTTCTTCGATAAAATTTTTATTTTTGAGGAAAGTTATGAATATTTTTCCTTGAAATTTTCAGGAACTTTAAGTGAAATGGCGAACGATCTTGTCTGAAAAATTTGAAGAAAAATATTTATAAGTTTACCAGAAAAATCATGTTTTATTAATCTAATTTTGGCAATGCCTAAAGGTTCATACGGCGTTTTCCCTTAGCACGGCAGAATAGAGAACTCATGTTTATGTTCTTCAACCACAGCCAACTTGGGACATACTTAGATAACCTAGTGTCATAAATTTTGGAAATTAATCCCTGGTAAAAATTGGCGATACGAGCTGCGTTTCAAAATACCATAGGAATTCTTATAGCCGGCTAAAGAAAGCTACAGAAAATCATATAGCTGGCTGTAGAAAGCGAACAAATCATATAGCCGGGCTATACAAAACTATACAAAAGTATACAGTCGGGCTATAGTTCCTATCGTCGGGCTTTACACTTTATCGCCATTGGCTATAAGAAATCGTGTAGAAATTCGTGTGCTTTGGAAATCATTAAGTTTGATACGGAACTACCTTAATATTTACAAAACACACATTATATTTTCCTTTCAAAACATATATTTTTTTTTTTTATCAATTGAAATGAGATGGTCCATACAGAGTGTGCAAACATTTCAAAATCATGAGTTGAAAAACGCTGACTCCGCGAGATTAAATATTAGAGCCTAACACATAGCGGAGCGGCGACGCATTGGCGCCTACAAACCTAACAGGGATACTTCACGCATTGCGCGGCGACGCACTGGCGCCTACAAACCTAACAGGGATACTTCACGCGTTGCGCAATGCGTGAAGTATCCCTTTTAGGTTTGTGGTCGCCAATGCGCGTTTCGCGCTCTCTGCCCGCCCGCCGCGCCGCGCCGCAGCGTGCCACGGTGCGGCGTCTGAGGCAACTATTTCACACCAGAGGTATTGCACAGTATCATAAGAAATTGACCATACATATTAAGAATGACAGACATCCTTCAAAAGTACGGAGCTTTCCTCGCAAAATAAATCAAGATACTACGGCACAAAAAGAGACCGGTAGTCCAAAAACTAACTAAGTCCTAGTATCCGTATTCAGTAACGTTTAGCATAAACTTTATCGTCTGGCTGTTGCTTAATCGCCACCGGCTGTAAAAGGCTATAAGAAATTGTACAGCCGGCTACAGAAGCTATTGGAAATCTTACAGCCGGCTTTAGGTCTATAGTATTTTGGAACACACATTCTACTGCCAATTTTTACCAGGGATTTCAGTGATGAAGACCAGTGCCGATTATTGAAAGTTGGCAACACTGTTATTCCTCCATTTAAATGTATGTAAAACAATCGATTCTTGGTGAGGCAGCATGCCTCACTTGAAATCGATCTTTTCAGGGGATTTAAATGACGGAAAAACAGCGTTGCCAACTTTCGAAATCGCTACTAATGAGGATCGACGACCGAGCAGTTTCAGACTGGAGGACTATGACTTAAAATCTGCAACAGACAACTAGAGAGGGTACTTTAAGCTTTCTGATAAACGTTTCCTAACCGAAATTTCAGGTAGAATACGATTCCGGCGACGGAAATTACTGACGTTAACTCCTAACTAGGACAATAAAATTGTTATTTTACATTGGTTACGGGTTTGAATTCCCCGTTCAGGGAGAAAAACAATAGCCTACTTGAATCAAATCGCGCATAACAACGGTTTGGGCAGGCTTCTTGATCGAGCAATGTTCCCTCCCCGCTTTGTGTTGTTGAAAAAGTTAACAACGCGCAACAGCTGAGCCGAAACACCGAGATTGAGGTTGCGCCAACTTCGTACCACAGAGACTGCCACGGTAATGTTTGGAGTGCGATTTGACTCAAGTAGACTTTTGTTTTTTGTTGGAATTTACGCATCGAAAAACGATAAATTGTCACCTTCCGGCCAAAGTGTCACAAGCGCATTGCGACGTTTACAAATTTTCGCCGCCATTTTATTTTAGGACAGAAAAATTGTTGGCTGAATCTGCTTGAAAATTTCACTGAACTTCATCGGCAGCACAAAGAAAATTCGGTGAAATTTTCGGATAGCATCGTTGAATAATTTCTCTGTAAATAATAAAATGACGGCGGAAATTTTTAAACGTCGCAAAGCGCTTGTGATACTTGGACCAGAGGGTAACGAAATACTCTAGTTAGGAGTTGATTTCAGTAATTTACGTGCGTGGCGCGAATAGTGTTCGACGTAAACTTTTGATAGAGAATCATTTATCAGAATTCTCGAAGCACCTTGCCTGGTGGTCCACTGCAAGAAAATAAACTTCATGTTACATCATTGTCGAAACGTCATTCTTTCGAGCACTAAGCAGAAAACTCATCATTATCTGTAGGTTCCTTTATGGACGGGCTAATTCTCACTCGCAAGTCCACCTAAAGCCTACACATTGCTTTCCGTCCGTTTTGGTGGCAAATACACACCTCATATTGTGTAAAGCCAAGAATCAGGACGTTAACACAGATGTATTGAAATTTTACTGACCACAATCAGATAAAAGTTGATCCTATCTGCTGACACATGCGTAAATTTAGCGGACATTTTGATTTTAAATATCGATGATAAGACTCCCAAACCACGTATCTCGGTTCAAGACGTTGCAGATTTCCTGTCATACTTTATTTTTATACATGGAGAACTGTTCAACGTCGATTTTTAAAAACATAGGTGATTCTTTTTCTCTACGCGACGTAAATTCTGTAGAAACTTCAAGAAATGATGTTGATTTGTACCCTTTTAAAAAAATATAAAAGAGGCGTAGATTTTTAAACATTGTAAACGAGATACGAGATCGGGGAGTTTCACCATCGGTTAAGAAACTTGAGGAATATTAGAGGTTTTTGAAGTAAATTTTTTTTTTAAAAATTCATTTTACGAAACATTGTTAAAAAGTGGATTGCTCATGAACAAAGGGGAGCAGAATGTTTCCTATTTATCTTCATTTTTTACAAATTCTTTAGTCGTGATTGTTCTTAATTGGCTATTGACTAATATTTGAAAGAACTTACAGGTGGGTCTTGATCGATTTGGTCTCGAGAGGGGAATCCAAGGCCTTTCAGGGGGTTGCGGAGCTCTCACTGTAACAGGAAAATCATTTAGAATTAAGTAAAGCTGCAGATCCGTGACGCTTTCAACGCCTGCTGCTGTGTGCATACATATGTACAATTAGAGCAGACAAATATTCACTGCCTCTGAGAATCAGGGGCTAGCGTTTATTGATAGGAGTACCTTTCTATGTTCGGTTTTGGAAATGAATGAAAAAAAAAATTGTTTAATTTTATCGATTAAAAAATAATTCACCGATAGAACCACTATCGGAGGTGTAGAAACACTAATGAAGATGAGATTCATTTTTTGTTTCAAAATTTCACCGCAAAATGTTTCAGCGATTGTGGCAAAACTGCCGTTGATGTCGGAAAATTCTGATGATAAAATGTGAAAAACTTTCATGCTCGGGTATTGTATCTGAAATTCATTTTTGCCGCAAGTGCACGAGGCTATATCCTCGATTGTGAGTGTTACTGTTCGAAAGTTACTGTTCTTCCTCTGATAAAATTTTCGCTTTTGAAAAAAGGTATGAATGTTCTTCCTTGAAATTTTCAGATCTTGAGAGGGAATTTTCACGAAATCCAAAAATTGGATTTTATTAGAACGGAATGAAACGATATCTGAATGCTCATAAAATATTTTCTCTTAAAACAGCAGAGGCCGTCTACGTTTAAAAAACGCCTTCAAATGACGCGCATGCAATTAGTCGTACATGCTGTAATTACGCGAACCCTCTCGGCTCCAATTCATAGTATCACAGTCACAATCAGCTGAGCACTGGAGGTGCAACTTTTTAAGAATTGTTAAGAGGTGACACTCCGTGTGATTTCAACAGATTTGTGAATGTTTTTACGGAGACTTGTTATAAAGTGACACTCCGTGTGATTTCAAGAGATTTGTGAATGTTTTTACAGTAAAATACTCAGTAGGATTTTAACTGCCTAGAAATGATGAAAACTCAATTTGAAGTTCTGGAGAAAAAATTATCACGGATTGATTTACAATTTTTCCTCTAATTATTCTTAGTTATTTTTTTTTGCGGGTTGCATACACAACTCCTATTTAACTATCTACACGGAGAAAAAAACTTCGTGCGTGGGACCCGAAGTTTAGGTCATATGGATCTCTGAAGTTTTCGGACTGAGCGTTCGAACACTTAAGGTCCAGCTGCTGAGGTTTGGATCACACATCTGAAACTTCAGTTCTTACGTCTGAAGTACTTCCGTTTTCACATCCGAAGAACTTCGGTTCTCACAACCGAAAAACTTCGGTTCTCACATCTGAAGTACTTCAGATGTAAGAACTGAAGTTACAGATGTGTGATCCGAACCTCGACAGCTAGACCTTTAAGTGTTCAGATGCTCAAGCTGAAAACTTCAGAGATCCAAATGACCTAAACTTCGGGTCCCACGCACGAGGTTTTTTTCTCCGTGTAAAGAGAAAAGAAATTCTATAAAATTGCATGATTGTTCATTTCGCATCTTTGCTCAGCAAAAGAGTCAGGTTGGCGCTTGAGACAGAACCACCGGGCAAGTTGCTGAGTGGTCAATTAACTGACAGACGCTTCCGCTGGTCTGTGGGAAAATTCAGCGACTAGCTCGTTTTCCGAGAAGATTTTCAGCGCTGACCAGCGTTTCCCTTCTATTTTCGGCGACATCGCTGATGGGCAAGAACTGGACAGGGCAAGCGAAATGCATGGGAGAGATTTATGAAAACTTCGCATTACAAGGATATTCAAGGGGCAGATATTATTAATCGCCTACGTGAAAAATGACTTCATATATAATGAAACCTCAGAAAAAGAGAATTTGCAGGTGTCCGAAATTTGATGAATAGGTGAAAACTACTGTGTGAACTGAACGCGAGAATACCCTTGGTTCACGAATTGCACAATTATTGGAGAAGATATGACAAAATGATCTAATCTGCTAAAACACATGTGTTCGAAAGAGAAATGCCGCCAGATGACGTCACTAGGCGGGGAATTTTCTCACTTTTAAATCTACTTTCATACTATTTCCCACATCAGAAAAAAATTATAAAAAATACTGTGAAATCAGCTCTTTCAGCACTTTCAGATAAGGCAATAAAAAATTGCATGAAAATTCTCCATTAGTTATATCGATGCATCGGAGCATAAAGGAGGATTCTACGACCAATTTGGGAAGAAAAAGCGAGTAAAAATATTAAAACACACCGGAGTGGGGCGCATAAAAGTTTGAAAGTTGAGAATCGTTCGGAGAGTCGTATTTTGATGGATGGCACCTACAGATTAGCACAAAAAATATTGCAAGATCTGCCTGACAGCCGCGTTTCTCAAAAAAATAATCGACGATTTCAAGCGGGCGCTTTCTACCCCTAAGAGTTCGTGGAGCATTTCTTCATGCTCGAACATCAACGACACTCACATATCGATGGCCAAAGTGCAAAACGTATCACAGCGTTGTTAAAAATTTCCGCTCCTATTTTAACTTTTCGAAGAAAAAGGAGCTAAATTTATTACTCGATATCTCTGCAGAATATTCTGCTGACAGTAAAGAAAATCGAGGAAGTTCTCAAGAAATTACGTTGACCGGTTCTCCGACGAAATAATAAAGTATGACAGAATCAGTGTTCGAAACTCACGGGCGCCAACGCGCCAAATGCGCCTAAAAATCGGCCATGGCGCCTAAAAAATGAAGGCTCTGCGCCAACGCGGCTCCTAAAAATCTGGATTTTCACAGGAAGAGACATGGCTCCACGAGAGCTTCAGGAACTAGAAACATGTTGGCGGCTCATAGTGGAANGGGGGGGGGGGGGGTTGATGCTCATCTTTGACGTTATCGCCAATCCCCACCCTCCCATCCCGAGTCCACGCCATTTTTTTATCTTCAGGATCTCGATGTCCATTTGTCTTTCTATAATGGCTACTTGATTCCATCCAAAAGATCGTATTCGATACATCGAACAGGTGAGATTGTATCGATATCGATTGGTTCAACATGTAAACATAGCCTCAATAGTTTTTAGAAATCTGAGGGAACGGGGTTTTTTTTTGTGATGGATTTTTGACTTTTATGAGTACGAACCAGTGGCGTGGCGTGCTTTGCGATACATCGTTTGATCTGCCATTTAAACCTATAGAAAAGGATCGATTAACAGGGTGTTCGCGACGAACATGGTAATAATCGATTCTTTACCACAGCTTCAAATGTGGAAATATCGATAGTCGATCTTTCACGCCTCGCCACTGGTACGAACTGGCGATGAAAAGTGAAATTTTTAGGAATTCGCTCATTTCAGCTTTTCCGACTCAAATCCCAAAATTTTTGTATGAAGTTACGTTCTTTTGTTTCGGACCAAACGATACATCGAACCACTATCTAATACGATCCATCGATACATCTGAGCATTGTCGATCCATTCCCGAGACTAGCCACGATCATCGCATCCATCGGTGAGTCGATCTCAAGACATGCATCGTCGATCGTCCTCAGCGGCGAGGCGTGAATGATCGATTTTCGATATTTCCCCATTTGAAGCTAAGGCGAAGAATCGATTATTATGCATAGTGTCTAATTTTCTTGGTAAAGCTCATTCCCGGATGAGAAACCGAAGTTTTCTCCCACTTTCCCGGGGTTTTCTTGAGGAAAGGAAAATAATTTATCAGAGTTTCAAATATGAATATAGATTTCAATTAATCTTACAGCCATTTGGCGCACATTCAAAATTTTGATTCAAAAAATGTTCCTGATGTTGATATTATCTGGTCAATGAAAGCTTCTACATTATTGCCGGTTTCTGGAACACATTCCCTGATTTTGCCCTGATTTTCCCGGTTTCTGGAACAAATTCCTTGATTTTCCCGGTAAATTTTCATCATTCCCTGATGAATCCCGGTTTTCCCCGGTTTTTAAAGAACTAGACACCATGTTATTATGGTGTTCGTTGCAAACACCCTGTTTATCGATCTATTTCCATAGGTTTAAGTGGCAGATCAATCGATAGATCGCGAAGCACGCCACGCCACCGATCGTCCTGGGCCTGGACGGTTTCTCCGAGGAGTCGAGACTCAATGGAGCCTCCCCTTCACCTCCCTCCCCCGCGAAGGGGGGGGGCGGGAGTGTGCAACGTCCCGAGCGAAAAGGTCAGATGCATTAATTTAAATTAGCGTGATTGTTGGCGGAAATAAAAATGGAAGTAATTAGCTGCGAAGTGGATCAAGAGAGGAGCATAACGAATAAGGAGACCTGGCCGCGGCCTACCAGCCAAGGAGGAGCCACCGAGGACGATGGAGCCACATCTCTCGCCAAAACCGCCCATCTGCGACGCTTCCCAACGGGGAGATGGGTGGTTTTTCCGACGAGCGGCAACCCCGCGAGTGGAGGTGTTGCCGGGTGATTTTTTAAAAATTTTTACGATTTTGTTCAAACTAAATCAGGGTGTCTACTAAAACAGGCTGACCAAAAATCACACCGAAAAAAAGTGACTTAAAGTTGATTTAGCATTCTGGATGTAAAAAAAAAAGTGTGCGAGAACGTGCGAGAAGTACTGAAAAAGTACGGAAATTCTCCAAGAAGGTCCGGAATTTTTGTCATTTTTGTCGCAATTTGAGCGAGGAATTGAAATTTCTGAAATTTCTCGAATTTCGTCAAATGAAGGCACTGAAAAAAAGACTGAATTTTTCTGTTGATGAGGTACTAAATTCCTTGGGAACGTACTAAAAAAGTACCGTAAAAGTGCTGCACTGAAAAAAAGTGAAGTTGATTTAACATTCTGGATGTAAAAAAAAGTGTGCGAGAACTCGCAAAATGCTAAATTACCTACTATGGCAGTCAGTTTTACATCTTGACATTGCTAAAGTAGCTGATGTAGCGGTTAATTTAGCATTTTGTAAGTTTTCGCACACTTTTCAACATCCAACGTGTTAAATCAACCTCACTTTGTTTTCAGTGCAGCACTTTAACGGTGCTTTTTTAGTACGTTCCCAAGGAATTCAGTACCTCCTCGACAGAAAAATTCAGTACTTTTTCAGTGCCTTCGTTTGACG